CAGGACCCCCGGGATTACCGGGACCAGGGGCTACGGGTGCAGTGAGCGCGGCTACCTATAGCACGGTGCCCCGTGTCGCCTTCTACGCCGGCCTCAAGAACCCCCACGAGGGCTACGAGGTCCTTAAGTTCGACGACGTGGTCACCAACCTGGGCAACAGCTACGACGCCGCCTCCGGCAAGTTCACCTGCGCCATCCCCGGCACCTACTTCTTCACCTACCACGTCCTCATGCGCGGCGGCGACGGCACCAGCATGTGGGCCGACCTCTGCAAGAACGGTCAGGTAAGGGCTGGCCTGTCTGGGCTACTGGCACCGCTGCGGGGACCGGAGCTGTCGCTCCCCCCCATGCACTGGAGAAGGGCTGTGGGTGCTTCCTCAGGGTGCCCCATCCTTTTCCCTGAGGTGTCGATGGGCTCTGGGTGCTTCCCTGGGGTGCCTCGTCCTTTTCCCAGTCTCAGAGATGCACCCCCAGGGTGCTCCATCCTTTTCCTGGTGGTGTTGATGAGCTCTGAGTGCATCCCTGGGGTGCCCTATTCTTCTCCCCACCTCAGCGATGCTCCCCCAGGGTGCCCTGCCCTTCCCTTGGCCCTGGAGATGCACCCCCGGGGTGCTCTGTCCTGCTCCCAGTGGCGATGATGGGCTCTGGGTGCCTCCCTGGATGCCCCATCCTTTTCCCAGCCCCAGGGATGTATCCCAAGGATGCCCCGTCCTTCTCCCAGCCGCAGAGATGCACCCCCAGGATGCTCTGTCCCTCTCCCAGTGCCAATGATGAGCTCTGGGCACGTCCCCAGGGTGCCACATCCTTCTGGCCACAGAGCTGCACTGCTGGAGTGCCCTGTCCTTTTCCCCGTGGCATGATGGGCTCTGGATGCATGCCTGGGGTGCCCTGTCCCACTCCCAGCTCCAGAGATGCACCCCCAGGATCCTCCATCCTTCTCCCAGTAGCGGTGATGTGCTCTGGGTGTACCCCCAGGACGTCCTGTCCCACTCCCAGCCCTGAAGATGCATGCCCAGAATGCCACATCTTTCTCCCAGTAGCAATGATGGGCTCGGGGTGCATCCCCAGGGACCCCCATCCTTCTCCCAGCAGCAGTGATGGGCTTGGGGTGCATCCCGAGGGACCCCCATCCTTCTCCTAACCCCTGAGATGCTCCCCCGGGTGTCTTGTCCCTCTCCCAGCACGGGGCACATGCTCTGCCACCATACCCATGCTGCCCTGATGTGTCCCCAAGGCTCCCCTCGGTCCTTTCCTTGGCTCTGGAGACGAGCCCCACCATGCCTCTGGGGTGCCTCAGGGTGTCCCAGTGGTGTCCCCAGGGTGCCCTGCCCTCCCTGGCCATGCTGTTGTCCCCACTGGGACTCCTCAGGGGGGACAGGGCTTGTCTGCAGGGGACAGGGTCTGTGGTGGCCTGGAGGGGGGCAGCGCCTGCCCAGCTTTTGGGGTGCTGCACCCCCAGCCTGGAGCCCGTGCTGCTGCTGCTGTGTCAGAAGAGACGTCCCCATTCTTGGCTGGACTGCATGGGGACACCATGGGGGGACATACCCCGAGGCTGGCGCCCTCCCTTGCCCCCCCCCCAGC